CGGTCCGCGACGCTGCTGGCCGGCGGCGACGCGCTGGCGGAGCACCTGCCGGAGGCGGGCGACGTGTCGTGGCGGGCCTTGCGGCCGGCGACGTCGCTGCGGTGGCGCGGCACGTGGCGTCGCACGACGGCGTGCGCGTGTTCGTCGCGTTCTCCGAGTTTGCGCTGCTGCACGCCGACTTCGCCGCCGCGTTCGGTGGCGGTGCGGGCGCCGACCGCGTTGTGTTTGCGACGAGCCTGCCGCACTGGGACGACGCGAACTCGACGTCGGCGACCGCCCGGGAGTTCCTCGCCGCCGTGCCCAACCCCACGCAACGGACGCCGCTCTCGCTGATGGGCTTCGCTGCCACGCAGCTGCTGCGGACGGTTCTCTCGCGCATGGACAAAGTGAGCGCTGCGCGGCTGGCTGACTTCTTCTACAACAACGTCGCCGTCACCGCGAAGGACATGCTGTACGGCCCCTTCGTTAACGGCACGGCGTGTGCTGCGGCTGCGGCTGCGGCCGGCGGTGCTGGGTGCGGCAAGAACTACGGGGCGACGCGCATTTCTGTGTGGTCGCTTGCCCGTGCGCTGGACCCCGCCGTGCCCGTGCTGTTCCCCGCCGTGACCCCGACGATGGAGTACGCGGAGCCCGCTGCGCGTAGACCGAAATTGCAGAAGCTGAACGGCGTCGTCGCCGGCAGCGTCGTTGGCGGCCTGCTGCTTGTGGTCGTGGCGGCTCTGCTGCTGCACTTCTGCCGCGGCTCCCGCGACAACGCGAATGCGCCGAAGGAGCCGACGGAGCCCGTGACGCTCGTCTTTACCGACATCGAGGGCGGCACGGCGCTGTGGGCTGCGTGCTCGGAGTTGATGCACGACGCCGTGGCGTCGCACCACCGCCTGATCCGCGCGCTGATTGCGAAGTACCGCTGCTACGAGGTGAAGACGGTCGGCGACTCGTTCGTGATTGCCTGCAAGAGCGTGTCCGCGGCGGTGCAGCTGGTGCGGGAGCTGCAGCAGGTGTTCCTGCGGCACGACTGGGGGACGGGCGCGCTCGACGAGGCGTACCGCAAGTTCGAGGAGGGCCGGGCGGAGGAGGTCGCGGAGGAGTACGTGCCGCCGACGGCGCGCCTGGACGCCGCGGTGTACCGGCATTACTGGAACGGCCTGCGGGTGCGTGTCGGGGTGCACACCGGGCT